TTTTTTATGAACGAATGTCGAGATTCTTTTTCGTCTTTAGAGACCTGAGTGAAAACGTTTTTGATGCGCCATATTTGCTCGATTGTTCGAAGATTTTTCTGGCTTGCTTTTTGAAGTGAACTTCGTTCTAAATTACCTTACTGTGGTCCTTAAGGACAAGATTTACCGTCGAGTCCCGTGCCTGTAATTATTTTAGGTGGGTAATGATTTTTATTAATATAAATGAAGTAACACGTGTGTGTGAAGTTTTTATTAACTACTTTTAACAATTTTATTGAAACATTTGTAATTATTTTAGAACTAAGTCAACAACCAAATAAGCACTCTGTCTCCCCCTCGAACCGAAAATAGACTGTTTCGCACCCTATCCTGTGTCTGATTGGATCAGCAGCAACCCCTTTCAAAAAACCCTGAGATTGAACCTTCACACGGTTGTCATGTGAATGAGTTGTTATGACAGAGACTTTGTAGAATCGTAGTAATTAATTTTTGAATTGTCAAGTTGTTATCATAAAAGTTAATAAATAGTATATTTTGCATTCGTATCACACCCAAATGTTTCCCATTTCTTACATTAATGGCGACCCTAGTATGAGGATGAGGAAACCTCCGTACACATACTATGCTATTGCGAAGGTCTGTCAAGGATAAGGTTTGCAACATTAGGGGAGGAAAAACCACAACCCTTCCAATATATGGGAAACTTGAGGTCTGGCCTATGGAGTCTAGTTACAAGGACTGGCCTAGACAAGGAACTCTAGAATACATGAGGGCACACACAATAGATCTGCAAAGGTCGCAGTGTAGTGGCTGTTCAGCACAGAAGCCTCATATTAATCTAATCTAATCTTCTTCGATGTTACAGAATATCAAGGTGATGTTAGTCTCCAATCAGGCGGATGTCTCTTTTCTGGATGGAATCCAGCAGCTTCAGGGTATGCTCAGAGGCGGAACTTCATACATGAAAACAATACTCCAGAGGAGGTCTGATCTGCGCTACATAAAGCATCAAAAGTTGCTGAGGTGGGTACAGTTTGCTGGTTTGGAACAGTGTGTTCCAATTTTTGGAGGAGCAGCCTTTGCAATTCCAGCGACATGATTGTGCCAAGACATATTGGTGTCCATTTCAACTTCTAACAGACTTATCGAAGCAGAAAGCGGAATTGTCTGACTTGACATTATTATATCCGGTTCGGGGACATCCATCTTTTTGGAAAAAAACCGATGCCTGAGTTTTCTTGGCATCGAATTGAACCTGGTCACTTCCACCCCAATTCGAAATCACTTCTAGATTCTCATTGAGGTATGCAACCTTCTTCTCCCGATCCAAGTGTGCATCCACAGCCGATGTCCTGGAATCCAAGTGGAATGACGAGAGAAGTATGCTGTCGTCAGCGAAGCAATATATTGTATTCTTGGTTTTTTCGAATGGGTCGTTCATCTAAACTTCTATATCGCTCAACCGATCGTGATGAAACTTGACATGTATGAGTAATTTTTCATAGATAAGGTTTTTAGGCTATCAATTTTTCTGTAACTCGCCACTAGATGGCGCTGTAGAAACTTTTTTTGAAAGCACTGTTATATAACGCTGCGCACGCCTAAATTCGTTGATTCTGATTCTGTCAAAACATTGGAACAGCAGCGATACAGCAACATAGTACTA